GCAATCAAAGGAGATGCTCAGACATTAAAATTTAGCTCAGGAAAGAGACAAATCTGGGGTGTATAGTGATATATTCTTGTTCAGATTACTTACCTAAACAAATACTAAAAATATTCCTGTCATAGTTACTTTCTTTTGCTTTCAATCTCAAAAGAGATCATTAGTGTCACTTCTAAGAATGAAAATTCCCTACTTCTGAAACAACTTCTTGCAGGGACAAAACATAAAAACAGTAAAGTAGGACTCTAGTAACAGGCAACATACCTAAAACTTTGTTCTATATTATTTTCTAAGGAATATCAAAGGATACTTATGGATACTACAAGTGGGTTCCATATTATATGGCTGCCTTGGCCCCATGTTACAAGTATAGAAATTATATTAAGGAGCACACAGACAGGATATAGAGATCAGAAATAATGTTGGCCTGCAGAGTTGATGTAAATAGGGATTTCCATCATGTGATTATCTTCTTATTCAACACAGTCTTTCAGTTGCACTATAAATTAGTGTTGCAAGTCTAAATCCAACTCTAAACTTTCAAGGGTCTGAATGCTTGAATACAGTACTCTCATTTGAGCCAAGCTTTTCGATAAATGGCACTTTATTTACATCTACAGTTTAAATAAGTGCATATTGTTTTCTAAGTTTAATTTTTGTAAGTAGTATTTAAGGTTGGTACGATGAGAGCAGCAAGAAAATTGAAGCAGGAAACTGCAAAGACAGAAAGGGCCAGAGGCACAGATCACTGTTTTTTCTCTAGCTAAATCTATAGTAGTAAATAAAACTGAAATCTGAAGGCTGTTCTCTGGACCTGAGGCTAACTAGATCCCAGGTCGTGTCTAAAAAAATAACTATGGTAAAATATTTTTTCAGCAGAAGTTTGGAATGACTCCTGAATTGCACTAACAGCAAACCTTTTGAGTTTCAGAATTGCAGGTGATAGCTAACCTTGGTGGCAACTGTAACAGGAAGAGTGATGACTTTGTAAAAATATGGATGATTACATGTCAGGATGTGAACTTATGCTGTGGACCTATTTAGTGTAGTAGTGTAAGTGTAACCTCTGTGAAAAGAAAATGGGGTACTGTATTTATTTATTCCTTACAATATGAAACAAAGTTTATTTCCTCCTCACTTTGTATTATTAGAGAAATTTACATCATTAGCTTCATTTTTCTTATTTGTTTAGTTAAATCATGTTCTAAGACCAGACCAAGAAATCAGCTTCGGGTCCAGTAAATATGAGTCTGCTATCAGAAGGAATGAGAAAAAATATGCTGTTGGCTCATTAGTTCATCAGCAACATAAAAGTGTGTGTTACCTGATGTCTCAGTAGGGCAGAGTCAGCACCAACAGATCTACACAGTCTAAAATGGTGCATCTTCCTGCAGAGCGAAAATTTAATGACTGTGAGTGTAACTGGTATATATTCTATCTAAATAAATCTACTGCAGGTAATAAGAGATTCTGCCTTACTCTGTAAATATTAGTATGGGATTGCAGGAGTTTCTTTGATGAAGAAAGGTGTCTCAGGACTGTAGAATTGTAGGATAATTCAGTGCAGAAAGACTTCAAGAGGTCTCTGGCCCAACCTTATACTCAAGGCAGGGACAGCCAAGAGCTCAGATGAGGTTGCTCAGGGCTTTATTCAATCATGTTTTGAAAATCTCCAAGAGTGAAACCTGCACAACCTCACTGATTAAAGAGGTCTAGATGTTCCATTCCTGAAGTTGCCTCAAACACCCTTGCAAAGCTATGAAGATTTCAAAACCAGTACTGAGTCAAAATTGATGCCACCTTTTAAAAGCACATTAAGAAAATGTAAAATAATAATCAAATGTAATGAAAATGTTCTCAGCTTTAATTAAACAATTGTCTTCAATAAAAAAGAGGAACTTAGGACTTATTTCTTTTTTTAGAATATGTGATAATAAAAATTCTTTACTTCTGGGCATTCACAACTCATATTTGACATAGATGTTTCCAAATATCTTATTGCTTTTATTTAATTGACTGAATTCTAATATTACATCCTAAATAGTTCAGTGGTTATTAGTTAATTGTTTATTATAGTTTAGCATGGTCACATTCAAAGTGAAATTTCTAGAGACAAATAAGTTTCAGCCTTGTTTCTAGAACAAATTTCCCTTTCCTATTAGAAAAAAACAGGGTCAAGAATTTTTATTCCCAGCAAGACTGCACAGCATGACTGACACTTAATACTTTATCTGAACGTCCCCCTTTCCCTCCTGCTCTTCCTCCATTTGTTTTGTTACCTTTTTGCCATTTTATGATAATCTCAAAAATGTCATTTAATCATCACTGAAAAATGTCAGAAAGTAAGGACATTCTGTAGAAGGATTTGGATTTCATACAGACACTGTCATGTTTAGGTACTGTTATCCAGCAGTTATCAAATTATCGTCTGACCTTTCCATCCTTCTAACCTGCGAGACATTGGGCAATGGATTTAGTACTGTTTAGACAGAATTCATCTTCAGGTTATAGTTAATAGGCCAATATTTAATCATTACATTTATGTGATTACAAATGAGGAAACTGTGAGCTATTACTGCTGGCTTAGACTGAGGCACAATTACTGGTAGCTTACCCAGCAAAAGTACTTGAGAGTTGCTGTATGCATTTCCACATTTATAATTATGCAAAAAGCTCTATCATCTTACTTGACCTTTAAAGCCCCAATGTGCTGATTGCAGGAAAAGTATTCTAAAAGACTGATGGAAATTTCATACAGTGCATATATAACCCAGTGATTGTATCATCAGTAAATGCTAAACAATAAGTTTAAAGTTGCTATTCTAATTTGGCCAGACCTTGCTAGATTCAATCAAACACAATCAGAGGTGCATGGCTGACATTCTAACAAGCTTAGGGTGAAGGCAGCTAGTGCTTTGAATTGCATTAACTCATTTTCTGACAAATACTGGGTATTAATTTCAAACTTTTTTTCTATATAGGCATACAAAAATCCTTTTGGGTATCAATCACATAAGCTATTCAAGACAAGGTAACAAATCTGTCTAAAGCTAATGTAAAAAGAACTACATTTGTAAATAGGGTGTTTGTGTGATAGAAATACATACATGCTCATGTAACCAGTTACAGTGTTAGCATCTCAAAATAATAAGTAATAGTAATTAAAAAAAAATACAGAAAAGAAGATGTTTGAGCAGGTTTACTTCATTTAGCACACCTGTCAATTCGTTACAAAAAAAATGCCTGTCAGTTCCATTCCTGACCCTCTTCCACTCCATCTTAAGTTGCACTAAACCAAGTCTGATTTAAAGTGCTTAAGAAATATTGCTATCTTAATATAATGCTTTTATTCAGAATTACAATATCATTTTATCAGGAAGGGAAGAAATTTTAAATATTTGCAAAATCATAATTGTTTCCTTAGAACTCTCACCTCATCTTTCTTCTGTAGAATGAAAATATCCAAGATGTCACACTGGGTTCCAGCCTTAGGAAAACCTGCCAATCATTGCAAATAGACGTACACAGAATGTATGTGACAGTTACACACATTATCAGCAAGCTTCCTTTGTAAGCCAATAATGAAAACTGTGCTGCAGAACCTTGTGTGTATGCTTAGACATACAGCCATCATATAATATCTACAAAATATGTTATGAAAACATTCCTTTCCTTGATTGCAGTTCTAGATATATTTAGCTCCTCTTTCTCATTCATGTTAGCCATTAATCAGCAAGTTCAAAAACACTTGATAGGAGGAAAAAAAATTCCATAAATTGATCCATTAAAAAATTATTTTTTAGTCCACAGAATCAAAACTCTAATTTATTTCTTTACTTAATTTTTATTTTAGCAGCAAAACAAATTTTTTTTGTTCTTCATCTGAAGTTATTTACCGTAGTATGGATGAGCCATTTTTCTTGCAAAAACATTTATAGGCCTTTCTGTTAAAGAGATAAAACTATTTTGCATAATTTTCTAAAAGTATCTCAAAACAGAATTACAGGGAAAACATAGAGAACTGTTTGCAAATGTTGCTAATGTTAACACTCAGTCCTCTCAGTTAAAAAACTATAGAAGACCTTATCAAATAGTATGTGAAAAATCCTTTATATATCATCATCTGACAGAAAATAAGGAAGAAAACTTAATAAGGAAGAAATGCTCTTTTTGTAACTAAGAAGTTTCAGAAGGCAATTTTGCATTGTTAAATATAAACTGAATCATACTTTATGTATAACATTCTACTTAAATTACAGACTGTTGCTGTAATAGAGCTATAGTTTTGGAGTTGTTTTCCTTCTGGTTTTGGAGGGGTTTCCTGGATATGCTATTTTCACTATTTTTATGGTACCTATTTTACAAGGGCACTTGAGTATTTTTAAACATATAGCTGATTGAACTCTGATTTATTTCATGTAAAGAGAGAAGGATAGACTGAAAGAAATTTCTTCATAAGAGACTTTTTTATTTCTGATATTTCTTCGCTGTGCTTTCTTACATGAAGATAAAGTGCTCACTGCCACTTGGCTATTGTAGCGTAAATGACCTTTGCATCATTAAAAATTGAAGGAAACCAAATTGTTTGCTTAGTATCTTCTGTTTATTGTTGAAAATTTATGCCTGTTTTTAAAAGCAACACTTTTAAGAGGGTGTTTGGATATGAGAGGGAAATGGGAATAGATATATTAATATCAGGGCCTAAAATTACTGCCTTCAGCTTTAGGAATGATGCTTTTGATGATAAGTATTACATATCATAGTATCTTAATAATGGTCTTATTTTTTTATTCATGTCATTATTATGTGTTTTGGCTTTTTTAGTGATTACTCTGCTCAGATTTACAATATGGCTTCATTTTAATAGAAGTTCAAACCCCAAAGACATGCCAACTTACAGCTTCTTTTATGTTTATAGTCTGTAATATAAACCAGCTATGTACTTGATTTTCTTTCCTTGTTGCTTTAGTAACAGCCTAATTAATTTGTCAGATGGTAAAATGTGCCTATTTCTAAATTTACACAGGCAAAGCATGGTACCATGTGAAGCAGAACTGTCAATCCTGAAGTTATCTTCAAATACAAGTATAACTAGAAAGTTCTGGTCCGATTCACATTGGCTTAAAACAGGACCCATATTTGTTGGTGGTTTGCCTCATCGTTACACAACAAAACAGGTATTTTTATTATTGTTGTTTATTTTTATTTAAGAATTTTTTATTTTAAGAATGGCATGTTGAGTAGGATATAACTGAAGAGATTTAAACCATGCAAAAAAATAAAAATTATTTACAGCTTTTTGAGGATTACACGTAAGTGATGACTATGGTCCCTTGAAGAGTATTGTTCATGTGTGGGACTTTGGTAAGTGAATAGAAACAACATTCTGGTCTGAAGTTATGAACTGAAATCCTGTTTGCCTTGATTAGGCAGAGTTAAGGAGAAAATATGATCAAATTTAGAGGAAGTACCTGTTACCTCAGGTGCTGGTTCTATTAAGATGTGAAAATACTCTTATGGAGGATTTTGAGGTACAGCAGTCACAATAACGGATGCACATCACTTAAGTGATTTCCAATATAATTTTTTTTATCACTCAAACTCTTCACGCTTGCACAGATGAAAGACCCAGGCCCTGTAATTCATTTGAAACTGGTACTGTGCACCCAAGTCAGTCTCTGACTCCCTTGTCTAAAGACAACCTGTGTTGCTACCTGGACTCTTTAACCCTCTTGTCTCATGTCTCAAATGCATTTCCAGAAAGTAAAGCTGTTCACATTACATAACAAAGACTACTTGTCAGTGTTTGTATATTTTCCACACATAGTGAAATAAACTAAACTGTTAGCACTGAGTTATTGTGGTCTGGGTCTCATTTATCTAAACACTGGTGTTTGGACAGGTGTTACCCCACAACAGTAGCAAAATCATATAGTCAGAGACGGACATATGTAATCCAATTTTAATTTTTTAAGCCATATTTTGGGTAGGTTTTACCCTGTGACAATTGATTTAACCTTTTTATTTCCGTTCTGTTCTTCAGTAAGTGAGGGTCATCCTATCATGAGGCAAATAGAGTAATTTCAAGTATCAGGAGGTTTTTGATGCTGCTATTATAATGCAGCATTTTTAAATTGCTTTTACCCTATAATAAATTGCACAGTAACCAATGAAGTGGTAAGACTGTGGAAATCCAGATTAGAAGTTCTTGTGAGTAGGTGCTTTTAAGGCTGTAAAGTATTTAGCCAAAAGTATACCTTTAAATACCACACACTGTCATTAAAAGAACACATCAGCTAGTATTCCTGTTTATACAACTTTCCCCTTAATTCAAATGATCATACACAAGCTATCTATTCATCTGCAATATTTTATCCTGAGTTCCATACGAAATATTATTTACTACAGAAACATATCTTCAATAAATGTTCTATACTAATAAGATATAAGAAAATCATATTTTCAATGTTTAAATGACCTATCTTGTAGAAGCTAAGAGAAAAGTTTTTGGGGATACCACAAAGAATTTTTAGTGAAGGTTTAGAGAATTCAGTCCATGTACAAGTTCAATTCTATGTATTTAGGAGCAGGTAAAGAAGCAATTTGTTTGAGAGTTATAATAATAATATATATATGAGAATGAATTTTGAGATGGCAAATAGGTCTTCACTAGCTAAAGGCAACATAAAACACAGAAAAATAAATTTACCTTCAGGAAGTTCAAATAGCAATAAGAGACAATGGTTTAAGGGTAATTTACTGCTAAAAAATTTGCCTATATATGTGTTGGATTGTCATATCAACATGGACTTTCTTTCTTTAAGGATGTTGCAGTTCAGTAAATTATTCTATTTTTAATGCAGGATTATTCTGTTCTTAATGCAGGTGAGATGTTGTGGTCCATGCTTGTCATCTAAGTTAGGTTATAGATGTAGGACTTGTGTAAGTGCTCAGACTGGTGATACTTAACCTCTATTACATATAGAGAGGAAAGCATACATTCCTATAACTTTCCCAAAAGGAAAAAATACAGCCTTTACTCTCAGTTACCTCTCTAGTTTTCCACTGAGCTTTTTTGCAGGTCATTACTTTCTGTTTGAGATAACCTCAGGCTTTTATTTCACTGTATTTTCTTTGCTTATTTCTTATTTTTGTGCTCATTTTGATCTTAATGTCTCATTTTGCTTATTTTTTACATTTTTGGTTTTAGGCAAGTTTTATTTTCCTTGACTTCCCTATCAAAATCTGTAGGCTCTAAGCCACATAAGGTCTATAAAGGCTATATTTTTCCCTTTTTGTTGGGGAATGGAGAACTGTCTGTCCAAGTACACTTTGTGTGAGTTTTTCAATCCCAGTAGGAAACCGCTCCATAAAGTTTCTTTCTCAACATTGTAGACCCAGATAGTCAGGCTTCTACTGTAAAACCTCCATCATCCCTTAAACAGGAAAGGTCTATTTCTGACCTTCACCCTGAAGTTTGCTTCAAGGGAGATTTCTGCTCCAGCTGAGACTCAGCTTTTTCTACCAAGTACTCTGATCACTCTTGGAGTCAAGTTCGAAAATGACCCTTATGATACCCATAGTATCGACCTAATAATACATTGTCTTGTTTTACTGTAATCCCTTCTCTCACTGGAGTAATTCGCTCTGATGTTGGCTCTTCTACCTTCCAATATTGTGGAAGTTGGAGAGAACAGTTACTTCAGACCCTAACTCCTTCAGTTTCTGACTAACAGGAACTTCTAGCAGTCAGTACCAAAAACTGTTGACACAGAAGTTCCGTATTACTGGTATTGGCTCATGCAACACTATTAATTTCCAGGCTAGATTCCTTTTCCTTTCATTTTGAGTGAATTTTGATATGATCTGTGAAGCCCTCAGGGTAAAATATTGCATCCTCTGAGGATTTTCTATACCTCATTTTCCTAATCAGCTCTCAAGTGTCTGTGCATATTTTTCCTCATATTTTTCTTTTGTCTGTATGTTTATCGTTTGGTATTCCCTAGAGTCAGAGTGCCCTCCAAATGTAAGGTAAGGTGCAACAATTCTAATGGTTTCCCTAGCTGCTGCCACAGCTTGGGAAAGCAGTTCAGGAGAGTAGAGCCCTAACCTTTAAGGTAGTGATGTATTTGGAATAATACCTGTGATATCTGGCAAAGCAATGCCATAATACCCCAATAGATTTCCTCACTATACAGAAAACCTCATACCTCCCAAATCACAAGTCCTAATTGCTGTGGCTGGTGAGGAGAAACAGTAGAGCAAGCCAAAGAACTACTTAAGTAGACCAGACATATAAAGTATTATGGAACCAGATAGGATGCTTACAAGCACACACCGCTGGCTGGTGCTGTCACAAGGCCACTCTCCATTACCTCTGAAAGCCTAGAACAATCAGGGGATATCCCTGAGGACAGGAAAAAGACAAATGTGATGTCGTGTTCATCTTCAAAAAACCAAAGAGGAAGATGAGTAACCATGAGCTGGTCAGGTCAATGGCACAACTCTTTCCTGAAATAAATGTAGAAACAAATGAGGGACAAGCAGATCCTTGGAAACAACCACCATGGATTTACCAAAGGAATCTACCTGACTAGTATGCTTGCCTTCCCTGTTGAGCTGACCGGCTCTGTGGACAAACAGAGGGCAGTAGATAATCCTTTGTTTCCCAGACTCAACTTCACTCACAACTTGTCTGTCTCCTTCCTCTGAGCAGCGCAGGAGGATGGGGAGTGGGAGTTGTAATCAGCACATAAGAGTTTGTCTCTGCCACTCCGTCCTCCTATACATCTACAGTTCTTTTATCTTAGATCCCCACGGGCCAAAGATGGGAAAAGCATTTGCCTGGGTATGAATTCTGAAGTATCTGAAGGTGTGGGTAGAAAACAAGGTAACAGATACATGCACTGAAACACTTTGGATAGATTCATCCAAGTTCAAGCACTGCAATCTGTTTCGTGCGCAGCAGGAAATTGTTTTTATGACTTTGTAAACTGTCCTTTGCAAAGTCTATTGGATTCATCTGATGGTGTAGGATGGCAGAGCTGAACAGTAGGAGGAAAATGAAACTATAAATAGCTGGCTGGCAGACATCTTGTTCTGCTGTCTCTACATAGTGAAACCACCCCCCTTCAGTTCTGTGCCAGATTTGTCTATTACTTACTTTTAAATTGTGTCCTATTTTCTGATAAAGAATATGACGGACATACTTCAGACTTGTCACATCTAATAAACAGGTAAATGTCAAAATCAACGAAACAGTTAAAACATTGGGTTTATGATCACTGGTTTTTAAGACTTAAAATCGACAACAGAGGAATAGAAATAAAATTACACAGAGAAAAAAGACTTTTTCCATCAAAAATTAAAAAAAAAATTATTTCTGAAATCTCAAGACTTGTTTCAGAATAATTAATTTCATGTTAATTTTAGTATCATTAATTGTTTACAATAGCTTTTTCCTCTGCAGAGAAGATTGGTACACTTAAAGGGAAATTAAAGACTGTTTTCAAATACCTACAGCAGCAGTTGATTGCAGTAATGCTGTTATTTCTGCTGCTATAATTGCTCCAGTAATTTATATTTCTAGACTTAATACTATTTTAGTATTGAGAAAGTTGAAATGTCATTATATCTTCATATTCCTTTTCAACACAAGCAGTTCTCTATAATTAAACTTTGCAAGTATTAAAACAGGAAAGTTTCAGAAGGAAAGGAAGCTTCTGTACCAGGAGAGCAATCTTCTAAATAAAGATAAAAGATTAAGTGGAATGTATGCAAATATATCTGTGTGCATCAGTAGGTTACTGATGGGGAAATGGAAGAGATAATTGAGTGATATGCTCAGGATCATAGTGTGTTAATGCTGAAACTAAGATGAGATGGAAATCATCATACATCTAAAGACTTCCGGTTAGACTATGAGCCCACGGTAGTCTAGAGGGCATGCATTTTAAATACAAATGTATAAAGCAGACTGTGCATATCTAAGAAAACATGTAGTTTTCCTATGAAACAGAGAGATTGTGATATCACAATCATATGAACTCCCCAGTCTCAAGATATTCTCAGATGTATCCATATGTAGGTAAAAATGTTTTATACATTTTAATAACCAACTGCTAAAACATATAAAAGTATGTTGTTTCTCTTGTAATAACTCATCCACAGTTATTAT